TGATAAAGAAACTGAATTTTTGTCATAGTTACACAAGATGAACTACATAACTTTGTTAGAAGCCCTACATATGTTTTGGATGTATAGTAGTAAATTTAGTTTCTTCATGAAAGTTTGGTTGCACTAGATGTGAGAGATTTGAAGTTTTTATGTCATTGAAGATTAATGTTGCCTTCCGCACTTTTACACCTTGTAGTTCAGTATGAGTATGAGGGGTGAGCCATAAAACTGGCCCTAGCACTGCGACCTTCAATGGTCTATTGTCTTTTGTAGTTCAGTAAGTTGGTAGCAAAATTTTGAAGGAGCATAGTGCTTCCATATTCAGGATAGGACTCTTGTCGTAAAGTTATTGTGGTTTGTTGAGGGTAGAAGTCTAACCTGAAGATAGAAGTATGTTCTTCGGAAACATTGGTACATACCAGATTACTGCATCTTATGATGCACATTCCTGTGAAAGTACTCTGATGAACAAGTTGGATTTTGTTCTGAACTGGACAGCTCCGACTTATCCCACAGAAGGCCCTCAGTGAATTTTATTTAATATAACACAGCTGTAGGCAGCGATCTTTTCCACACACATAAGTGCTCAATGATGGAGGTTACATATTTTTGAGAAGTAAATATATTGCATGATGTTTCAGAAAAGTGTCTGCAACACTTTTGATACACTCAGCTGATCGGGTTTATTCCCATGCATCTCATTTTGTGTGGTTCACAAATAATTTTCCTTCTGATAATAATGGAAGCTACTGCTCATCTCAGTAACTGGAACAGATTACAAGATGCATGTAGACTAACATCACTCGGACACTGCTTTGGCCATTCCGTGTCGCAGGCAGCTTCTGACCGCAGCAGCCTGGGTTTGCTCCCAGGTTAAGTGATGTGGTGTTTGTTGTGGACAGAGTGGCACTACTGCCAATTCTCATTCCAGCTAATGCTCCGCAGTCATTAATCATCCTGTCATAAACGCTGTGTAGTCTTGACGCTGACTGTGATGTTCACTGAACAAGCTGGCTTCCGACTTGCATCTGGGAGATGCTTGGGCCAAATCTTGGCCAGTACATCAACTGTCCTGACACTGTATGGTTTTCCTCAGTACCAGAATGGTACCTCACATTAGGGCATGACCTCTTCCTTGCACATGCTTTCAGGTCACTGTTCACTGTCATCCTTCTGTTTGGCAACTTACAGTTTGAGGTACTCAGGGCATCATTAAATAAACCATAAGTAAATGGCTTTCTACTCAGTTTAAATTTGGGTGATTTTTATGTATTTGTATGTGCAGGGTACAAAAAATGTTGTCACCCACCATATTCTTTGCAATACAGCATTTATGGATTTTTTTTTAACGTGAAAATGTTTTAAGATCCCACAGAGGTTCAGCCTGGACAGCGATAAGTGTGAAACTGATGGTTAATACAAAGCATAATATCAGCCATCGGTCAAGAAGTTGTCATGTCATGCACTGATTGGTTGAAGTTGTGTTACAAGTTTTTGATCCATTTTCTTGAAATGATCAGTGATGATAAAATTTTCAAGCTCAGATTGAAATGCAGCACAAACACATATCTTTGTTTAAAGGAGAGAAAAGAGTGTTCATTTTGTTGCACAATGTTATTCTTTGTGATTTTTCCATCCAACACATGAAATCTGCTGGTATGCACCTTTCGTGCTACATGGCTATCCACTGCATTTCTCTGTAGATATTTTTATAGAAAAGGACATCTCTGATGTAAACTCTTTCCACTTGTACATTGACATTCAGATGTCTAGTGTCATCTGCTGAGTGAATGTTTAGTGTTCATTTGTCTATGCACATTTGAACTAAGTGCAGCTTTATCTGTTCTTATGGGAGTACTTTTGTTACAATGGAGTTCAGTCAGGTTCACCTTATTTTGGACTGGAAGGCGTTAAAAGAAATGTGCCTCTTAGTAAATTTACTTTGTAGGAAAATTTCTGAAGGTAGAAATATAGTTCATAATACAGTTTTGTAGTGTAACGATTTCTTTGCTTGCAGTTTACTTTACAGATGTAGACAGTCTTGGAAGTTCAGTCAAGTGTAATGATCAGTTCTTAGGCCTCTTGCTGGTTGCCTACCCATTCTTGCTTCTTCCCAGACAGTCCCTTATTTGTAAATACTGGTATACAGTTATGAAACATTATTAAACTATTATTAATTTAATATTTTAGTATACTATGCTTTTGTATCTATTTTTATTTCATTGTAAATGATGGGTATGATTTATTGGTGTTAACTGAAGATTGTAATACAAAAATATATAGAGCACAGGTTCTGTAATATATTAAAGAGAGAAATGTATAAGCTTTGACTCTTTAAGTATAATGAATTTCCCACTGAACTGCATATTAAAATAAGCAGAACATGATGGTGAAGAGTTTGTAAGATAGAATTCTTCACAGCTACTGCTACGAGAACGTCAAGTTTTTAAGAAGTTGGTGGCACACACAAGTTTATGTTCACTACAGAATAGCACACTGACCATGCATGTATAAGGGAAGGGCCTTCTTGACCCTTGCACCGTGACCACAGTGATCTGTTGTGCCTTCACACACTACCATCGTGTAACACCAGTTTTGCTTGGAGTTTGAAGACGAAAATGTTCAAAGGACTTGAGGTTTCCTTTGTTATCCATATCCACTGTTGAGATCATTTAGTACTGCACTAAGGCAAGACAGGGACAAGTGGTAACATGTGAACACAGTGATCGCTTTCTAGGTTGTATGAGGGAGAGGCAGTAAATGGGTCACAAATGGAAGTAAAACACCTGTAATGGATGTAGTATGTTTTCTATTTGTATCACTAGATGACAGCATAGATGAGCTTCATAACAATCTAGGTAGCAGATGCAAATGTTCAGAGGCTGGTTTCAGTAGTCAAAATAGCGACCGTTTTTGATGTGTACTACTGAAGAACAGCATTCTGTTCTGCATTTTTTTTGTGGGCAAACAGACCCAATGCAAAGGATATTGATAAAGAAATGTTTCCTGTTTATGGTGGGAAGTGTCTGTCACGTAAAGTGGTTCACAACTGGATTGAGAAATGTGACAATCATTTCACTGATGATGAATAGGTTGAAACAGTGCGGAAGTGGCTGAAACAGCAGTCAAAAGTCTTCTATAATGTGTTTTTTGACACTGGTAAAGCAATTTGTGAAGTGCATTAATGTCTGTGGAGGATATGTTGAGAAATAAATGTTTTTTTTTCCAGGTTCGAATATCACATTTTATTTTTATATCCATTTGTGACGTATTTACTAACTATCCCTTGTAAAAACTGACAAATTTCTAACCCGTGAAGCTAGTTGAGTGAACTGGACTGAACAGCTTTTGAACATGGTGATGGATAGAAGGTTTGATATTCACATGGCAGTGAATACAATGATTATTCTCTTCTGGGATTTCATGGAATGTATTCCTGCGGAGAGGTACAGACATTTCAGAGGAACTTAATACCTCCATGTTCATGGTAGCTTGAAGATGGAGGCAGCCATTTCCTCCAGAACTTCAGTAAAGTTTTACTAGCCCATGCAACATCACATCCCAAGCTGTGGGAACTCTTAGGGACCAACAGTTTGGAGGCATGTTAGAACAAAGTATCAAAGATCTTGGAGATGAAGTAACAAAGTAGTCAAAGTTACAGTACAAGGAAGATTGAATTTGTACTGGAAATTTCATATTGTTAATATGATTCGCAGTAGTGTAGTTGGTTGAGGCACTATGCTACAAGCTGGAAGATCACAGGTTCAAGTTCCAATGAGGTCATTGGATTTTTTCAGTTGACATTCTTCCAGCCGCACTATGGCCCTGAGGTTGACTCGGCCTCTAACAGAAATGAGTACCAGGAATATTCTTGGGGGTAAAGGGCGGCCGGCGCATAGGGCTGATAACCTCACTGCCATCTGTGAACCAACTGTCTAGAAAATGTGGGAACCTCAACATCTCAGAACCCTACAGTCCTCCACAGCCTGTTGCAAGGATACCTTTACTTTGTATGATTAAACAGAGGGTCAGTTGGTGGGCCATGTAGCAAGCATTAGTGGGAGGGGGACCTTATGTCTGCATAGAAAACATTGGTTGGAAGAATGCAAGCCGCTCAATAATAGATGGAGTAATATTAAAATCTGAATTAGATTGTAGGTATATGAGCTGGGGCAGGTTTATGGTTGTGATGGTGATATGTCGATTTTCGTAACACATTAACAGCTGATTGTCTATTAAGGCATTATCATAGAGTTGTCTGGAAAATTAGAATTGCCAATGAGAATCATGCCTCTACATCAGTGTGGTGTTACCCGTGTCTGGGCCTGCACACATTCCAGGTCCCCTAAAACCTTCGTAATGACACTTAACATTCCAATTTGTTATGCTGCTACTAGTGTATAACCTGTCAAAAATGGTGTGCAGACCAGTTTCTTTCTTTCTCCCCTTGTGTCTCCCATACTGCACTCCATTTCCTACCATTCTTCCATCCTATTGGAACCTCTCGTCCCTTTTCTTCCCTCCTTCACCATCATATTAAAACTGTTCCCTTACCCCCTCTTCTTCCATTCCTCTGTCCCTTTATCTCTTTCCCTTCTTTCCTATTCCTTATATTTGCCTCTTCTATCATAATTCCCCCACCCCATATCCTAGCAATGGCAGGAGATAGTTTACATCATGTAAGTAAATGTTTCAGGTGTTCTTTTGCAAATAACATGAGGTATTTCGTATTTTATTCTGGCTCCCAGCTTTTGGAGGTAACTTTTAGGTCTATATGATAATTTGGTAGGTCTGCCTATATCATCCATTCAGGGACAGTTTTTATTTTAAGGCAAACCAGTTATAATTCATGTGATATCCTATCTCACTCGATGACAAGCCAGTATGGGATACACTGATTTGCAGTGTTGCTTACAGATGCATTTCATGCAACATGTAAATGTTCTGGGCAAGTGGTGTGATTGTTAGTCTTGCGGGAGAAAGGCTAACAAGTCAACAGGTTGCAATGGAAATTTTAATTTCCAGTTTCATTGCAGCACCAACAAGAAATGGTTCTTCCTCAAAAAGTGGGAAGTACAGCCACTGTACAGTGGCTCCCACTGTGGGGAAGCCATGCACATACAACGTGGTCATGTTCATGAAAGAATTATTTTTTTTGCATGAAAAAAATGAAACTTCACCCATAAAATGTTAACTTGTATAAAAGTCTGTGATACATCTCTAATCATACTTAACATTTAAAGAGCTGTAGTATGTAGATATAAAACATGTTTATGTTTTGAAATACTATCTGCTGAGATGTGATGCAGTGTAGTCCTGTAGAAGTTCATTGGCATTCCTTCAAAACGCCAGTAGACTTGTACCACGCTACACGGCATTACATACCCACCACAGTGAAAACCTGAGCTCACTTAAAATTACGTCATTGACACACACGTCAACCATTAGTAAAAATATCTAAAAGCAAAGTACAGTGAAACCCACATTTAAGGTTTGATTGTGGACCAGTGGTTTTGAAAAGTACACTGAGAAAAGTTTGAATATTAAATGGAGTAAATTTAACACCGAGATTATTGACTAGGGATCACTGACCTTTAAATGTAAAACTTTAAATTCAGGAACATTAAATGGGAGTTTCAGTGTATGTTGTGCCAGTGTGACAGAATATCGTCTGCAATATACTCGCTCACGGTAATCAGGATATCAAAAGTTAAAAGCCCTAGATAATTCTGCTGCATCATGATGGTGCCAGGAAGACAGTGGCACAACTTTAAAAGTCATATCAGATGCTGACATTTAAAATGTATGAAGTTCTGGTAGTGACTCAGTAAAACTCTTTTGATGGTTGACAAAACCGATGAGACACGTATAACAAATTTGCTTGCAGACAGTATTTCAAAATTCTCTTTGCACTGCTAAAATACATACAAGAGCTGCGTCAATGTCGCTGGACACTCAACATCGGGGTAGTGGTGTCGATTACAGCCGTTCCCTCATACAGAAACTTGAGCACATAGTTCAGTACGCTTCCTGTCTTAGCCCTAAGTTTGGTTTCATTAGTGACGGATAGTGTTGGAGTTTTGATCCGCACAAGTTGACCTTTCGCGACGTTCACTTCAAACACACGAATCATCTGTTGTTGCACTGCTTCATAGAACTTTTCCACTTCTTTAAATGAAGCGTATTCTGAGTTGCGATCATGGATGCTGCAACATGAAAAAATTTCACAGAATCTGAAAGTAACTCTATTGCTGGTTGTTGATTTGGATATTTTAAAATGTAAGAAATGTTGAAAGAGAATATTTGGACCTAAGAAACATGAACTAACAGGAGAATGAGGAAAGTTACAAAATGAGCTTAATGCTTTGTACCAGACACTTAACCCTTTCGCGCGGTCACTTAAATTCCGCGGCCGTCTCTCTGGCGGTAATATATTCAGCTGTCCATTTAAATTTTGCTCGAAAATGATTTATTCATCATTGTTCTTAAATTATATGAGATAGGAACATGAAACTTTCACTAAAATGATCTTAAAAGGTGGTTTTATAACCTTACAATATGAGCGCCCTGTATCTCGGCAATGGAAGCAGGTTGTTTAGTATTTGAGCAGTGAATGGTACGCCTTGAAGGATGAAACTTTCACTAAAATGATCTTAAAAGATGGTTTTTATAACCTTACCTTATAATATGAGCGCCCTGTATCTCGGCAATGGAAGCAGGTTGTTTAGAATTTGAGCAGTGTAAGGAAGGCCTTGAAGCATTCGTCTAACCCAACGGTGCCCCACATTCACCGCTCCAATATTGTGTATCTTTTCTTTGGCCCTTTTTTTTAACCACACATCTGTGCGGCCTTGCCTTCTTCCCCGTGAGGGGTATAGTTCAAGGAAATGTCTTTCCGTGACCCGTTTAGTTGCCAGGTCAGCTGTAGTAAATTCAACGTTACGAGTTATCATAACAAGGGGTTGTTGCTATGCCTTTGATATTCCATCCATTTTGGCGGCAGTAGATGTCGTAGGGGTGACCACAGAATTCATGAAGTTATTCTAAGAACTGTCTGGTATGTAGTGCACGAAAGCAGAGCTTAGCTGGCTCAAAAAAAATATTTATGGTCATCCCTCGAAACGACCACCAAGGTCAGTACGATAAAATGGCGTCAACTGGAGCGATAGTACATGAAGGAATGAGTTCTTTTCGCCCCCCACACACACACCAGTATCATCATAGGGGGTGACCACAGTGTTCTGCCTTAATTCGTGACGTTTTTCTAAGAACTGGGTGCTATGTACTGTGCGAAATCAATCGATCTTGCAAGAATAAATTTTTGGACATCCCTCTTCTAAGAATTCCAATTGAGTGTGTTAGTGTGGCCAGCTCAGGGCAATATGATATTATAAACACAGCACATATCACGTCTCTGCTGTTTATAACTTCATAGCAAAGAAAACACGCCATTCATAACAGCTTGAACAAGGAAACCGCTCGCAAGAGCAACAGGAAATTTGCTGCAAGACAGTCATATGTAACGATGACTTAGCGCAGCTAAACTCGTGGCTTATTATACTCTGTTCTACTGACAACAGGCCAGCGAAAAATCTAACAATCTACAGCAAAATCATCAATTATTATGGGCGTTATAACATAGGTGTGCAGCTGGATGAAACATAGACGTCAAACCCCCGCAGACGATTTAAATACCTGACGAAACATACACGTCAAACCACGCTGAACGGTTAACACTCTTAGGACATTTAGCTAAGGAACTAGATTATGGGTTTCTGCATACTCCTTCAAAACATGACACTTGCCTCTCAGACTACACGGTGTCATAACCAGGACCACAATCTAATTCTTTCGATGCTGTGAAAACCCCAAATCTCTTAGCTGAAAGAATATGAATGAGGTGGGGCATAAGTAGCATTCATGGTGAAAATGGGGAATAAATTCCATGGAACAATCCTTCATGAGAAGCCAGCAGCGTGTCAGTCCATCAGGAATTTCCCCAGTTTCAGTGAAATCCTGACTCAGATATTAAGTCTGGTGCTAGCCAAACTCCAGGTTAAACCCTATATTACATCCCTGCATTTAATACATTTTGATATAATAAGGGACCCATATTTACTGGAAGAAATTTTAGACTTTCCAGAACTTGTACCTCGGTTTAGTGTGACTGTGGTCTCTGCCAGGAATCACTACTGCACAGCCATAATCTTTGGTGACCGGTTTCAGATGTTGAGCCATACCACGTGCAGCATCATACAAGGGCTATTCGGAAAGTGACCTCTGGTGAGCTGTTAACAAAACAAGCAATAAGAAAAAAATTTTGTGATATACAAAGAATACCTACATACTTAAGGTGCTTCTTGACACAGTCATTGCCGGAACCGAGGCACTTGTCATATCAGGGCATAAGCTTTTGTATGCCTGTGTCAAAGAAGTCTGCCATCTGTTAGCTTAGCCACATTACTGTGAAAGTGCTGTGATCTCAACCAGTTCTTCAGGCAGATAAACAGGTGGTAGTCACTTGGAGGGAGATCAGAGCTATAAGGAGGGTGGTCAAACAACTCCCAGTTGGAATGTTCCAGCAGTGTTTGGGTGAGAGCAGCTTTATGCAGATGCATATTGTCATGGAGGAGCACTACACTGGATGTCGACATTCCTCACCTTTTGTTCTGAATGGCCATACACTTTTTTTAGTGTTTTACAATGTGAAATCTGGCTGAGCTAACAGGCGGCAGACTTCTTTGACACCAATATACAAAAAGTTCTTCTCTGCTGTGACAAGTGGCTCAGTTCCATTGGTGACAACATTGAGAATTTGCTTAAGTATGTATGTGGTATTTTTTGTATACAATAAATTTTTTTTCCTAATTTTTTGTGTTGTTAACAGCTCACTGGAGGTTACTTTCTTATTAGCCCTTGCAATTACCGTGATTTTTGAGTGAATTTATTTCACACGTTTAATTATTTTATAAATTAATTTCATTATTATGTATGTGATTTATTTGTTTGTATAGAAACAGTTTCTTTACTATTTATGTAAAGAAATTATGTGATCATATTTATGTACAGTAAGAAGAAGAATATTTTCATGTCATTTTACACCCCCCCCCCTACTTATTATAAATCCAGATTTAGTATAAGAGAAACCGTTTCTCTAGACATACATTAAATTGGGATTTCACTGTATGTAAGAAACTCCATCCGTATCCTTCATCACCCACGCGTTAGAGCTGTGCCCCTGCATTCGCTGGCCTAGCAGCAGGACTCAGCACGGCTACTGTCACATTATTCACGGTAGAAATCTCATTAGCACCAAGTTGAAATTGAGCCATGTGTACTCCATTAGCAGGAGGGGAGATCTATGTCCAGGCAAAGCTTTAGAGGAAAGACACTGGGTGTTCTTACACGTGTAAAATTAAAGTGGAAGTCAACTGAGCATGTTTTGTGAAGTAAAAGTATTTTGATAATTTGAAAGTTAAAACAGATGCTGACATGTAGACCCATTGCCAAGTAACAGCTGTGTAAACAGGCGACAGAACAACAGCCGTTGCTAGGGAACGGCTCTGTGGGCCATGCAACAATGGAAGGGGCGTATTCTGTGCAGTCCATGCTGGGGCTATATAATGAGGACTAGTAGTTTGATTGAGTCAGTTGAGAGTTGTAGCTGTGAGAAGAGAGAAGCTGGTAGCTTAGGCTGGGAGCAGTTTGGGAACACAGAGGAAGGGGAACATCTACTGTTGGAAGCTGCTACCAAGCAATGGCTAGTGAAGACTAAGAAGATTGTGTATGTGCTGTAGTTATGTTATTTATAAGAGTTCAGCAAATCACATTACAAATCCAAACCTTGTCTACAGTCACACTTATCGGATGAAAATATTTTCTTACATACTCTGAAGGCAAGGGGGCACGTGGTAGCGTAGTGGTTGAGGAGCTATGCTACAAGCCGGAAGGTCGCGGGTTCAAGTCCTGATGAGGTCACTGGATTTTTTTCAGTTGACCTAATCCTTCCAGCCGCACTAGGCCCTGGGGTTTACTCAGCCTCTAACAAAAATGAGTACCAGGAATTAATTAATTTTCCTGGGGAGTAAAGCGTGGTCGGCACGTAGGGCTGACATCCTTACCGCCATCTTTGAGCCAATTGTATAGACAATGTGGGGCCATCAACGTCTCACAACCCTATGGGCCTTCACGGCATGGTACGGGGATAGCTTTACTCATTTTTTTTTCTCTGAAGGCAAAGTGCACCATGCAATGTAAATACATACCTGAATAGTACTATCTTCTGGGATATAATGCTGTGTAGTCCGTTGAAAGCATGTGGCAAGTAAGCTCTGCTCACCGCCTGCTTTCATGCTGGCTTCTTGCTCAGCTTATTCATGAAGATGGAGGCAATAAGTTTCTCTGAAACAGTGGTTGACTTTTAACAGCCTACATTGCTTTATATCCCAGAAGGTAGCATTCTTCACAGCCACTGCTGTGAGACCTTCACATCCTATGTAGATACATACCTGTCCCACAAATATTTTAGACTGTTAAGTGGAACTTTAAACCGAATTCTGTTCCGTACAGAGAGCTGTGGGAACGAGAACATGAGCTCAGCTTGAGACATTCCTTTGCGTGTGTCCTTCTCGTCTGCCTGTAATGCGCAGAACCACATCAGATCTTCCTGTGATAACTGATAAGAATTGACAGAGCAGTCAAAGAATTTCTGAAGAAGGAAATGCACTGATTTGGCAGCTCGCACTGTTCCACTGCACAGCAGCACTGGCAAGTGAATTGTGAACTGTTCTTCTAACCCTTTGGACGCACCTCTGCACACCATGAACCCAATGTAATATTTGCTTCGTAAATCTTCGCCGTTTTTCCTCTTCGTAACATTTACCAATATCTGAAATCAGTGAGAATACAGAAAGAAAAAACTACCAACTGTTGTGTTTTTATCACAGGCTTCAATATTAAACCTTTTGATGCTGCTCTCAGGAAACCAAATAAAAAGTGTTGCGGAAACATAACAGTACATTTTGTCCTTAAATTTCTCAGTCTGAATGGTCAAGATTCATCAGTGCTGGGGTTAAGAGTGGTGGAGCTATACTTCCACCCCCCATAGGTCTTCATGGCAGGGATAATTTTGCCTTCTTACCTTCATTATTCCATAATTAAGAGAAACATTTTTAATTTAAATGAAATATACTTTTTAAAGACAACATATACTATATTGTAATGGTATGAATTGGACATGTACAAGCTTGAATATCCAAGATCAAACCAGGAAAAAGAATCTCGACTGAAACATTGATTTTCCATTCTTGAATATGAAGAAACTTCAAATACCTGTCTATGTACAGCAGCAAGCAAACTAGCAAACTCATATGAATCATAAATTCTGGCAATGCTAGCGTGAATCAACTTGTCAACAAAATCTGCCTCGTATTTGACAACTAGTGAAAAAGGACCTGGCTCTAGAATTCAACTTTTTTGAAACACAATGATTTGTGAAAATTTGTGACCGAAAGGGTAACATGATAAGAAGTACACTTCAGTGCATTATGAGAAAAGTAAAGCTACCCCAGTAACAGGCTGTGGAGGCCCGTAGGGTTGTGACACATCGAGGCTTCCACATTTTCTAGACAGTCAGCTCACAGAGGCGGTGAGGTTATGAAGAAAGTGAGTACTTGTATAATTTGTGGTTACAATGGGTGGAGGGGGGTGGAGAGAGGAATAAAGACTAGTAGAGAAAATTCTAGTTATCTCAGTTCCCAGAATGTTTCCAACTTCTCATCTCAATCTGAAAAAATAATTTTTGTGCACATCTGTATAAATGCCAGATTCAACATAATGGCTCAAATTCCAGATGGATAGTGGCATAAATGTTTAGTGGTTCAAAACGATTTGCTTGATGGTACCATTATCTGACAGGCCGATACAAGACAATGTTTAGAGATTATTTTGCTAATTTCATAATAAGAAGAAAATTTTACTTACATAAATTGAAGTTCTGCCATAAATGTAGTTAAATGCTGGCATAACTTAGTGTCAAACCTGAAAATTTAGTCTAATGTACTACGAACCTTTATGGCCTCACTGTCGTTCTGTGTCAGAGTGAGTCCTTCTGCCACAGAGAAATTTACTTCATAATGCGCATCCAGCGTAGAATCTGTCAGCAAGGTAGTGAGACCTTCTCGCATTCGCTGACCATATTGCTTCATTCGTACTGTTGTATACTCAAAATTGTGCAACGGTGATACTCTGAAAACCTTCCATGTTTTGCCAGTAAGATCTATAGAGAAGAATAAATGACATTATTATATGTCATAGGGCATTAACTGAATTAGATCTGCAACTTCTTCATTGGACTTATATATTAACCAGAGGCAGCCTAGTAGTGTATCGAAAGGGACAAGTTTTGGAATGGTCAGGTTAAACAGTGGATGGGGGATTATTCTCCAGGTTAAACAGCTGGGTACGAGATCTAAAAGGGGTACTATGCTACAACCTGGAAGGTTGCAGGTTTGAGTCCCAATGAAGTGGATTATTTTTCAATTGACCTAATCCTTCCAGCTGAACTATGGCCCTAGGCTCGACTCAGCGTCTAACAGAAATGAGTACCAGGAGTCTTCCTAGGGGTGAAGGACAGTCAGCACATAAGGCTGGCAACCTTACCCCCATCTATGAGCCAATTGCCTACATAATGTGGGACCCTCAATGTTTCACAATCCTATGGGACTCCATGGCCTGTTGCAGGGATAGCTTTACCTTACAATATCTAAAGCAAGAGAGACAAGTGTTCCCTCCTGCTGCCTAACTGTGGCAACAGGGAGGTTCTGCATCAACTGAGATGCATGTGTACAGCACCCCAGTGACTTATGATCATTCTGCACATATTTCTGTGCATCCTGTTACATGTTTATATATATTAGATATCATATGCTTTGCCCTGGTGCAGAACGTGAAACTTGAACAGTCCCCACTTCTCTCAACCCTCCAGCACCGTAGCAGCCAGTGCTGTTAACTGCTAACACATGGGAAGTAATCCCTACACTGCTTTGTGCCATTGCTAACTCCAGACAAACTCAAAGGGAGTTGAGTTCCACACACAGCAAACCTTCACTAACCTGGATTAATTGGGGGGAGGGGGGGGGGCAGAAGAGATCATCCGTATTAAGCGATAATGTTGATTAGTGAATTGGATTAGACTCACCCCCCAAAAAAAACTTAGAACACAATAAACCGAAAATTGAATGATATAAGTAGTGCTGATGAAAATAAATAACAACCATCACTGTAGAGCTTATAATTAAAAAATATAAAAACATAATACATTTATTCATCGACAGAAGAGCTGTACTTTTTTTAATGTAATAATGTGGGTTTGAAGCAATTGTCAAGTTTTGTCTGAACAGACAAGTGACACATCTGCCTTCCTAAATGTCATTGTGTATTTTGAAGTACGTACTCAACTGTGAACAGCATTTTTCATTTTTCGATCCTGATTAAGTGTAACCAGATTAGTGAGGTTTTATTGTACGTTTAAGTAATGTTACCAATAAAAAGAGCAAAGATGGACTAACTATGTGGCTAAGGCTCTGTTTACAAATAGCACAGCTGCCTGCTCAAATACAGACTTTATACAAGGAATGTTATCCTGGCTTGTGTGGGTACAGTTTGAGTCATAAAGTTGCTATGACTGGAGGTAGCTTCTGTCAATTCCTTGCACCATGCACCACTCTTCTGTTTTCTCTGGTGTATATCATAGCAGTTCTGGGTGGAAAACATTGTCTTAGACAAAATGCTGACTGCCATCACCAACACAATAGCTGTCCATGCTTTCACAAACTGCAACTGCAGAATCCTGAATCTATGTGTCTTTCTGCATACCTTCAAGATCATTGTAATCTTCATCTGAGCCTGAATCGCTGTCGTGTATGTTGAAATAAAGTCTTTCTGGTCGAACTGTATACTGAACTTGCGAATCGTTTTCTTGCTCTGCTTTGTCGTGATTTCTGTTTCGGATTCCGAACACTGATCCCGGTGTGTGCAGTTTTGTAGACAGCCGCCGACGTTTTGTCAGTGAACGTGGCGTCGACATCACAATTCAAATACAGCTAACCTTTATCTTCCTTCATCACTGATGACATCAACACATCTGTGAAGAGGAATCAAATTACTTTAAACATTAGCTGCAGCTGCTATTTACAATGTTGCCAGGATAGCTCAGTCAATATAGTGACAAGGCTACAGACTGGATGACTGAGAAATCGGGGTTTGATTCCTGGCAGGAGCAGAGAATTTTCTCTTCTCTGCCTGGGGCCCACACACTTTCATATTCAGTGTGTACCTATGGCACTTTACCTGGGATAAAGTAGCCAGGGTGGTTAAGATGACAATCTGTCTCCATTTAATGATAAGCTTAGTAATGTGTGTGGAGCTATACCTTCACTCCCTCACACATCTTCATGAAGTGGTGTTTTATTAAGCACAGAGAAGACTTTACCTTGTTACTATTTACATTTCTGTGCCAGTACCCAGTTGTAATATTGACACTAGAAGCATTTGTTGAGATATACTGTATTTTAGGTATAAAGTGGAAAATGAATGGTGAAATTTTCCCTTCTGTCCAAGCCCCACAAAGGCGTGCTTGGGTATGCATTAGACCAGTGTTTCTCAACTGGCAGGACATCCCACTGGTGGGATTTGAGGCTTGGCTGGGTGGGACATTAGGTGCCGGTCACAGAAAATTAATAACTCAGTCACACAAAAACTTTCCTGCACTTCAAACCAAAGCAGCTCATTAATGCTGCACTACAATTGTACTTCAATAACAGAACATTTTTTTATGTAACAGACTTAACAAAACATTATCAAAAATTGTTACACTCTCTCTTTGAGTTTCTACAAACCTTTAATAATTAAAAAATTGAAATCATGAAATTGTAAGAATACACTTCATGAAAAGTTAAAAGGGTTTGCTTTTTGGTTTGTTGGGACTACATTTCTATTCGTGAAAAGACAAGTGGGATGACAGATGCAAAAGTATGAAAAACACCAGATTTGATTATGAAAATGTGGTCAATGTTACAGAACAGATATAACTAAGATTAGTCATACAGCCTATATACAGGAACATTACATTATTTATTTATGGCTTATTTAATGATGCTGTCAATAGCTCAGACTATACAGCTTTGAATGGATGATATTACTAATGACTTCGAAGGATGTGAAAGGAAGCAGGCATTAACAATTCTACCTTTTATTTGGGAATGGCCCGGTTTGACTCCTGCCCTGGGATACTAACTATCCTCACAGCTCTTTTGTGGTTTTTATCTGTTTCTCCAGAAAAATTCCAGGGTAGTACCCCAACTTAGGACATGAATCCTTCCTTCTGCATGCTTCCAAATTAATTATTCACTAATCACTCTATCATATGACACTATACAGTATAAGATACTGATAAAATAAGTAAATAAACCATAAATGAAGGAAGTGGATACAGCCTAGCTATTATACAAGCAATTATTTGGCAGAATTGACAAAAACCACAAAAACCTCAGTCAGTATATCCAGTCTCCAAACTGAAAACTACATTATTTTTAGAGGGCACAAATAATGGGTGTCAGTTATTCACCTACACTAGATATCTACAAAAATTACTAATTACACTACATTTAAAATATATGTATCTACGTATAACAGGAACACCTTATAGAAGATAGTAAAGTTGATATATGATTTATTATCTTCTGACATTTCTAACAGAAATGATTGGAGTATTAGAACATTTTAATTTAAAACATTGCAATTAACCTCTTTTGGTGAACTTGCTCCATTGTTTACAGACTGAAACTTTCTATTGTCGACCATATTTCCAACATAATCCAACACATACATGAACAGCAGCAGTCCGTATGAATACAAACATTAACGAACCTCCATTAAAATTGTAAAAAACATGAGGGCACAGTTTAATAACTTTAGACCTAATAAAACAGACAACACTGTTCAAATCGACGCAACATTCAAAACACTCGACGTTTATCCGTTGAAATGTAACGAGATCCATGATTGGGCACTTGTGCGACTGCTCGTCGCGAACCCAATGACTTGCCATCTTACAAGCTCATTCGGATTAAAGTCATCATGACCAATACAACACATTTCTCTGGTAGAAGGGACGTTTCCCGAGCAGTAACTTAAGAATATATTTCATGAACATTAATACAATCTGTAATGTCATATCGTACTTAAGTGATGTCGTCACATTGTTACGTATTTCTGATTCCCCTATTTGTTATAATTCCTTCGTGTTTACAATAAATCCTGTTTTAAAAGGGAAATTCTTGTGTTCATAGAATTTTAAAATATTGGCAACCATGTGTCCACTTCCGGTCAATATGGGCGCTAAAGTTGTAGAAATTGTTCTCCCTACGGGAAAATCAGTCAGGATTTTAAAATGGAAAGTCAAGGAAGGAACTATTGTGTCTGTTGGACGTGTAATATTGCTATACGATATAAATCCCAACAATGGGAAAGAAGAGCAAAAGAAATTAAAGGCAAATCAAGTTGGAACTGTGCGCAAGCTGTTAGCCAAGGAAGGTGAAATTGTACATCCAGGGTACGTAGGAGAGTAGATGCGTTGATTACATGCGCATTACGTCATTCAAGGATTCTTAGGTTATATATAGGTACTAATCATTATGACAAGCTCTAAAGCTTTAGTATATTTTGTCATGGAAATAGAAACGTGGATCCATTGGCCGGAAGCTACAGAATATATATTACTAAACAATGTTTGTGCAATTTTAGGAATTATATGATGATCCAAGGCATTCATTTTGGCATCTCAGTCGCCAATGTATAGAAGTACGTGTAGATTCGAAGTTCAAGAGTTCAAGGCATTCTAAACTAAATCAGAACTGAGTAAAACAGTGACAAATTTTATCAGAAGTCAGGAAAAAATGCATAAGCAATAATTTTTGCATTGTTTGAGAATTCCAGTAATGATTCTTTTTATTTTCAAATTATGGTAACTCTTGAGAATTGGATACAGAAATCTCTAGATAATGGACCTCAGTTGCAATTATGAGATAACGGATTGGTTCTCAGTAATAGCTATCCAAATTAATATTACCAATTTTCTTGCACCAAGTATTCAAAAATGATGCTTAATGGAGAGGCCATGAAAGTCTTCATGTTTCCTATTCCAGATCACTTGATTAATTTGAATATCTACCTGATATGTAAGGGACATGTTATCTGTACTAAAACTAATCATAAACGATTTTGGTTTATTATAATCTCTTGTTTACACGAAGCTCACATTTTATCATTCTCACAACTGATTGTTCTGTAAAAAGTGAACTTTTCATTCATTCATGTTTATTCATCCTGTAGATCAGATTACATTGATATAGGACATGTCACATAATATAAAATTAACAAAATACAGTAGATTCTAAACCAGTAAACACACAAGATATGTAATGATTATTTACTTCTAGCATGTATCATAATCTAATATATCATAGTTTATCCATACATTCATATATTCAGTATTTACTATCCATAGATCGGATCACACAGGTGTAGAACATGCCACAAGTAATAAATTATAAAATTAGCAAGGTGCGAGAATTCATAACAAATACAATCACAAAATATATAATGACTATCATATCTAGCATATATCAATATGCAGCATAACAGAATTTATCCAAACATTCATTCACTCAAATAAATTATAAAATTAGCAAGATACAATACGATCAAAACCAATAAACGCACAAATATGCAATGAGTATTTACATCAAACATGTAACAATTCCAATAATTCAGAATTATCTATACATTAATTAATTCATATTTACCCATACCACAGATCAGACTACATTAAAGTAGGCCATATCTCATGAAACGAGTTATAAAACCAACAAAATTACAACAAATTATAAACCAACAAATTCACAAAATATGTAATGCAATATCACATGCAGCATATATAACTATCCAGCATTACAGAATTTATCATTCATATAGTCATCAATTGAGTAGTAGCATCTATTTATGAGCAAATTCTTAAGTTCCCTTATAAACTGGTTTTTATTGTCAAGCTGTTTAATACTATTGGGTAATTTATTATAAAAGATACAGCCAGCAACGGAAGGTTTGCTGTTATAAAGTTCTAAGTTATGCACCCATTTATGGTAGTCATTTTTGTTTCTAGTATTGTGAGTGTGTACTTGTTTATTTACCGTACAGTTACACTTATTAGTTGCATATAAAATGGTTTGAAATATGTACATTGAATATAATGTTAAAATCTTTAGTTGTATAAAACTGTCTCTACAAGATTCTAAGGGTTTTAGCCCAGCAGTGTACCGTACGGCTCTTTTTTGAAGAATAAAAATTCTTTTAGTAAGTGCCTTAGCACTGTTTCCCCATACGACAATTCCATATGATAAAAAGGGGAAGATCAAGCCATAATACAACATTCTTCTGCCCTTTAGGTCTAATAATTTAGCAAGTCTATTTAATAAAAACAAGTTACGACTAATTCGACTGCAGGTTCTATCAATATAAACATCCCAACTCAAGGTGCTGTCTATTTCCACACCCAAAAAGTTTATACTATTCACATTTTCTATTTCCATATTCTTAACTAAAATTTTATATTTATAGTCCTGCCTACATTGCTTTGTTTGAAAAAAAATGCAGTGCGTTTTAGTTGGATTTATGAATAAATCATTCATCTCAAAGTATTTTTCCACAACTCCAATATTAGTTGAAGTTATATATTGGAGTTCATTTATATTCTGTCCCATATTCAAGATTGAAGTATCATCAGCATACATTATAGATCTACCTTGTGTTAGGTGAGGAAAGTCATTTATATATAAAATAAAAAGCAAAGGACCAAGAACTGATCCCTGAGGGACTCCAAATTTAACTGGCAGGCTACTCGATAGATATTCCTTTATTTCATTGGTTTCCCTATGTAAAACTTTCACCTGTTGTGTTCTATTTGTAAGATAAGATTTAATTAACATATGTGGAATACCGCGGACACCATATTTATATAATTTATCCATAAGAATGTTGTGCTGAATACAATCAAATGCTTTTGATAGATCTAAAGAGACACAATTACAATTTATTTTATCATTCAAGTTATCTATTATATTTTCAATAACTGTGGCAATAGCATCATTAGTAGAATGTTTCTTTCTAAAACCAAACTGAAATTTATTTAAAATATTATGTTTATCTAAGAAGGCTATTAGTTGATTAACTATTACTTTTTCTAAGACCTTAGAGAAAGTAGGAACAAGTGTGATAGGTCGATAATTACTTGCATCTTCCTTAGTCCCCCCTTTATAAATAGGGGAAACGACCGATTTTTTTAATATAGATGGAAATATACCATCTCTAATTGATGCGTTAACCAATTCTAAGAGCGGTTTAGCAGTATAAGGTATACATAATTTTAACAAATAAGGAGAGAGATCATCAAGTCCTGCAGACTTTTTATTCACCATACTGAGGATTATTTTAATCAAATCGGCCTCTGTTATTTCAAACAAAACAAATGAGTCTTTTAAGCTATCAATATTATTAATGGTTTGTGGGTGGATTAAGTTTTTATCAAGTATTAGATTGTTAACAGTTTCTACAAAGGTTTTATTAAATATATTACAAGTTCTGTTTGGACATGAAACCTTTTGTTTTCCATCAAATAAGTTTATATTTCCAGTGAGTTTATTATTTAAAGAATCTCTTTCACGATTTACAAATTTCCACAGAGCTTTTGGAATGTTTATTGATCTGTTTATTATATTCTGAATATGATTTGGTATCTAGCATAAGATGTAGTCACATTACTTATGTCAGGTGTCTTGAGTGTTACTGTAGATGGGCTTTGGGCCACTTTGACCTCTTACAGATCACGACTACAAGTAATTATAATGCTTTTGGTAATTTCCACACTTTACAAATCACTAGAGCATGCACTAAGCCTTCTCAGTGTGCTTTCACTAGTTGTTTCCTGGTAATGGATCCTAACATCAGAAGTTCTTGAGCTTCTGTGCTCACATCATTACTGGCTGGCTGATATCCTAGAGCTGAACTGTTGCTCCAGACTGTCCTGGTTATAACATCTCGGCATGGACCCTTCAGAAAACATCATTCATCATTGTTGTAGTTCAGAATTGTTTGTTAAGAATTTCCTGCCTAGCGAGCTTTGTTTTGTTGTTTGTTTCATAGTTGTAACCTATGGGTCTACACGCTACAATATATTTGTGTTTTATTTGACGTATTACTTCAGAGAAATGATGAGGAATGTGATGCCAATGTCTTCTTCCTTTGATGGGCGCAGTTTGTTCCTTGGAAATGCTGGTAAAAGTCTATTAGATTGGATGCCATTACAAGCTGGTAGTCATTGGCACAGTGAGGACCTCAGATCTTGCATACTCACTATTTCTGTTTTGTTTAAACAGAGATGTCCTGCTGCAGCTAGAGGAATGCACACATCCAACAGTGATGAAGGACATGTGTGCCGAGTGTGGCGCTGACTTGAGGAAGCAGGACCAGACTCTGCAGAATGCTTCCATCCCAATGGTCCACAGCATTCCAGAGCTCAAAGTCAGCAAAGAGGTAAGCCTAAGCACCGTCTCTTGAACTTGTGTACAGAACCCCACACAATGCTTGTCTTGGCGCTGGTTACAGGTGAGCAGTCAGATCTGTGGTGTGTCTTAGCCAGTTTAAAGTTTACCGCACTGTCCATCAGGTAGTGGTCTCGTTAGGTAAGAGATTGGATTTGAGGTTTTCACAGCTGTGAGGCCTTGTAGTTGAAGGAGACTGTGATGTTTCAGAGGAACAAATTGCTTTCATCTGCAGGGTTGAGAAGTAAGCCCAGTATTAAACCTGTATTATGTGCTTCAGTGATTACGTGACAGTGAAAGTGAATGTTATCAGGTATCTTGGCCTTGAACTAAGTAAATACAATGCACTCGTGTATTGACTGTAATGATGTTAATTTATTTAGGATTATGGTGGTTAGGAAGAATTCTGTCTTCTAGGATATAACTTGTTTGTTGTCCATTGAGAGTCATTTTGGAGAACTTCTTGCCTCTGTCTTCAGGGTTGAACAATCAGCCAAGCAGGAAACCAGCATGAAGCCGGTGGCAAGTAGAGTCCAGAAGTTAGAACTCTTGATTACTGCTGCTGTGGGAACCTCAAATCCTGCATACTCATAAAGCTGTTCATTTTTACTACTTTTTCTTTAAAAGTTTATTTTTGTGCACCATCCAATACACATAGTACAGACAAGCAGCGGCACTCACACAAGAAGACTACATTAAATAACACCTGTACAGTGTGAAAACAAGAACTAGCCGCTCCAGCACTTAGACATAGGGCGAGTAACCCTAAGAATTTTAAATTTTAAATTTAAAATTTAGAGAAAAATTTTAAAAGGTTTTAAAAACATCATAACTAAAGATTTTTAGAGTGCTACTACAAGAATATCGGGTTTGACGTGTGCAACATAATCTACATACCAGACACATATCAACGATGTAGATGTTGATAATACGAAGAATGTGACATTGTGTTTTTAAATGTTAAGTTTTAGACTGGGTTCAGTGTGGCAGCAACGTTAAGAGTATACACCTGATGATGGCCGATAGAGGCCGAAACATGTAGTGTAGAAAGAACAAGATCAAAGACATATAAATATATATTGTTTGCACTTAGGACGGAGTTTGTATCATTTATCCAATAAACAAGTTGATTCCATCCTGGAAATGTCATTGCATACCATATGAGGAAAAGACAGTAGCTGTATTTTACTTGTATATGCCTTGGTTTTGTTGTTGTTAATACTAGACTATGTTCTGTTTCCTTAGCAAGCTCAGATCCTGGGGAAAGCGGATGAAGAACGCTTACTGAAAGATAGGAAGCTTGTCCTATTAGTGGATCTTGACCAGACATTGATCCATACGACAAACGACAATATACCTGCTAATTTGAAGGTAAAGTAATATAGTCCTTTATGGACGAAATGTTGTTTATGAAAAATTAATTTTGCAGTACCTGGCTGATGTTTCCTCTACTGTCCCTCCATTCCACTTTGGCGGTTACATGGTATGTTGGTCAGGTATAAGAGTTTTGTGTTTCTTGTGTTGATGTTTACAGGATGTATACCACTTCCAACTTCATGGCTCAGGGTCACCATGGTATCATACGCGGCTACGACCTGGCACACAGCAGTTCTTAAGTGAGATGAGCAAATATTATGAGCTCCACATCTGCACGTTTGGGGCTCGTAACTATGCGCACATGATAGCCATGTTCCTTGATCAGGACGGGAAGCTCTTCTCTCATCGTATCCTCTCCCGAGATGAATGTTTCAACCCAAATTCCAAGACTGCTAACCTGATGTATGTAACTGTCACTGTTTGACCATTTATAGAACTGTTAGGTGAAACAGTTTATGATGCAATTACAGACTAAGTGATCAGTCTCAGTATATTCATAATTTAATAGTTCACAAGAAAAAATAATATATTCCTGTAGGCAGCCCAGATTTCTGCCATTGTTAAGTGTTGTGTGCCATACACATGTAAAAAGTAAACAGTAAAGCTGTCCCCGTAACAGGCCGTGGGGGCCCATAGGGTTGTGAGATGTTGAGGCTCCCACATTTCTAGACAGTCTGCTCACAGATGGCGGTGAGGTTGTCAGCCTTATGCACCGGCCACCCTTTACCCCTCAGGAAGATGCCTGGTACTCATCTCTGTTAGAGGCTGAGTCGACCCCAGGGCTATAATGTGGCTGGAAGGATTAGGTAAATTGAAAAATTCCACCTCATCGGGATTCGATCCCGCAACCTTCCGGCTTGTTGCATAGTGCCTCAATCAACTATGCTACTGTGTGCCCCCCTGCCATACACATGTATCTGCAATTAATAAACTTCAAGACAAGTGAGGATTGAAAATTCATTATGAAATATTGTTTTAGTATAGTCACAAATTCCTACTTTAGTCTGGCAGTAGCAGTGCATTGTGTTTAGCCTCAAAATGTCGTTGTACAGAGTCTACACAGCTCTTCCTGATGTTAACAGGTCGCTTTTCCCATGTGGGGACAACTTGGTTTGTATCATTGATGACAGAGAGGATGTATGGAACTTTGCTCCCAACCTGGTCCATGTGAAGCCGTACCATTTCTTCCAGCACACCGGTGACATTAATGCTCCTCCTGGTCTTGCCAAGTGTGAGAATGACGAGAAGGAAGGTTTCGACTTCACTGGAATATCGGGTAAGCAGTATACGTTGGCTTATGCTTCCCATATGGTAAGGTCCAAAGGTGTACATTTGTTGTGGCTTTGTTCAGTCCTTGTGTACATAGGAGCAGATACACTGAAATTCAGTATTTGTAGAATATTTTCTTCTGGTCCCAGTTAAAGCTCACTGTAAACAATGTATTTTTCCTGTATGTAGTAAATTTTATGAAGTCTGCCTTCAGTGTGAGGATGTTACATAACCTGAGCTACTGATAATGTTATTAAATAAATAAGTCTGATGCCTGAGTGTGTTTTCATGTCACCACCATGTGCTTGCTGGTTGCATGCAAGCTCTGAGGCAGTGTGTTCACTGTGATTTGTAGGTATCACAACGTTTAATAGCGGCTCTCATCATTCACAGTAGTGTAGAAATGATGTGTCTCAACATGACGTAAAAAAAACTCCGTGGTTTTAGTCTGCAAATGAACTATACCAGCTGAGTGACTGCCGCTTGTCGGTGAAGTTAGTGCCAACTTTATTTGGATAGAACCGCTACTTTTCCATTCAAGTAGCTCCTCAGTTATCCTCACGAGGCTGAGTGGACCCCATTCCAGACCCACTACTACTCAGAAAATGTGGTAGCACCGGTAATTGAACCCTGGACCTCTAGGTATGTAGCCAGGAACTCTGACCACTAGACCACAGAGGCAGTCTCAACACGTGACATAGGACAGAAGAAATTAAAAATCATTAATAACAGGATGCTAATTAAGTATGTAGCTTTTTCACAATGTGAAAGGATTAAAGCAATTATTTTGGGCTTTCTCCATTGCCTGACTATTAGAAGCACCATATTTTGGAAATTCATTCTGTTTCTGTCTTCTGGTAGACAGCATATGATAGAAGGTTACTGTGCTGGTGACAAACATAAAGTTTCTCCCAAACCATGAACAGCAGGATACATCTGAAAGTACCTCTTCCCAGGAGTCCAACACAGTATGTTTTCTTTCATGTAATTTCCACCTGACGACAGAAATAGAACCATGATTTATTTTATCCGTCTTCTAGTGCATACATTTATTTATCCCCTCTTTTCACTCTCACTACATGTTTCGGCACCAGTGTGCCATCTTCAGGTGCTGATCCAATCCACGACAAACTAATTCACTGCATGCCTTGTCTTTACATACTAAAATAACTAAAATATATATTTATCATATACAGGGTGTCCCAGGAGGAATGTGCCAAACTTCGGGAGGGTGTTCCTTATGTTAAAGTATGCTGATATAACCCAAAACACCTATGTCCAAAGTTGAACGGTTACGGAGATAATGGCCAGAGAAGTGTCAAACTTTGACCGGGGTTACACACTTGTTGATTACAAAATAGATATTAAAACTGGCAGGAATATGTGGATTCTGTAATGTTAATAATGTACGTAACATCAAACCAACTTGTGAGTGACGGAAAGCCATAAAATTGAAGTACAAAATACTCGCTCGCCATGTCATAATTGTCCTTAGGTTTCCAAGCAGTATACATAACACATGACTGGCGTGCGATGACGTAA